AGAGACCAGAAAGACCAGATCTACAAGGAAAAAGACCAGGGAGAAAGACCAGGGAAAGACCAAAGAGAGACCAGAAAGAGAGACCTGAGAGAGACCAGAGAAAAAGACAAGGGAGAGACCAGGGAGAGAGATCAGAGAGGGATACCAGGGAGAGAGACCAAGGAGAGAGACCAGAGAGAAAGACCAGAAAGAGAGAACAGGGAAAGAGACCAGGGAGAGAGACTAGGGAGAGACCAGAAAGACCAGAAAGAGAGAACAGGCAAAGAGACCAGGGAGAGAGACCAGGGAGAGATAAGGGAGAGACCAGAAAGAGAGCAGAAAGAGAGACCTGAGAGAGACCAAAGAAAAAAACCAGGGAGAGGCCAGGGAGAGAGAGACCAGGAGAGACCAGGGATAGAGATCAGAGAGGGAGACCAGGGAGAGAGACCAAGGAGAGAGACCAGAGAGAGAGACCAGAGAGAGAGACCAGAGAGAGAGGGAGACCAGGGAGAGAAACCAGAGAGAGACCAAAGTGAGAGACCAAAGTGAGAGACCAGAGAGAGAGTCCAGATATTCAAACTATTGCCCCTCGTGTGACTTGTGTGTAGTTTTATAACCTTTTTCTTATGACCCAAATTTGAGAAACAGTTGGAAAAAAACTAGGTCGCAAGGCGGGTTGGATGCCCTGTGTTGACACTGGTTTTGGGGCAATAAGTTGTGTTTTTTGCTCAGTGGTAATGGCATAATTGTAAATGTAGAAACCCTTCACTATGAGGCTTCATTGTGGAAACCCAGTCAAACAGGGCTTCTGTGAGGAGTTGCAGATCCACTGGTCTGAAGACACAGATTTGAGAGATCAGAGAGATGGACCCAACAGACCAGAGCAGTCATGGAGCCAGAGCAGATGAACCAGCGAGTTCAGACAGAGTCCAGAGGAGAGATCTGAGGACATAGAGAGTACCAGGAGAGGGACCAGAGTGAGGACCAGAGAGAGACCAGAGATGAGACCAGAGAGAACAGATGAGGACCAGAGGAGAGAAGAGAGCAGACCCAGAGCAGAGTCCAGAGAGAGGACCAGAGCTGAGGTACCAGAGAGACCTCAGAGAGACCAGGAGAGGCCAGACCAGAGCGAGACCAGGGAGAGATCCAGAGTGATTGAACAGAGACAGAGCCACACCGAGACGTGACAAACAGAGAGACCAGGAGAGACAGAACAGAGAGACCAGAGAGAGCCCACTGTCACGACAGAGACCAGAGAGACCAGAGAGAGACCAGGGAGAGACCAGAGCGAGACCAGAGAGAGACCAGAGAGAGACCAGAGAGACCAGAGAGAGAGACCAGAGAGAGACCAGAGAGAGAGACCAGAGAGAGACCAGAGAGAGACCAGAGAGAGACCAGAGAGAAAACCAGAGAGACCAGAGAGAGACCAGAGAGACCAGAGAGAGACCAGAGAGAGACCAGAGAGACCAGAGAGAGACCAGAGAGACCAGAGAGACCAGAGAGAGACCAGAGAGACCAGAGAGAGACCAGAGAGAGACCAGAGAGACCAGAGAGACCAGAGAGAGACCAGAGAGACCAGAGAGAGACCAGAGAGACCAGAGAGACCAGAGAGAGACCAGAGAGACCAGAGAGACCAGAGAGAGACCAGAGAGACCAGAGAGACCAGAGAGAGACCAGAGAGACCAGAGAGACCAGAGAGACCAGAGAGAGACCAGAGAGAGACCAGAGAGACCAGAGAGAGACTAGAGAAAGACCAGAGAAAGACCAGAGAGACTATGTTCTCAGACTTTGACGTAAGAATGAAAGTCTGAAAATGTTTTGATCCTGGTCTCAGACGGAGTGGGAGAATCCAGTTTAAAAGTAACTGTAATTTTTTTCTTTTGAAGTTGACAGTAAAATGAAACATGAATATTTTTCTCATAAACACATTGAAAGTGGGGCCTGGTCCAGACCCGAGCTCCACAGAAAGTCCTGGGTTTGATTCCACCTTCAGACCTCTCTGTGTGTAGTTTACATGATCTCTTCATGTCTGCGTAGGTTTCCTCCAGGTGCTCCGGTTTACCCTAGCACTAAAACATGTACAATTGTCCCCCACACCACCCTCTCTGACCCTGCTCTCTCTGGGGCCCGGAGTCCCCTGAAAAAGAGAAGCTAAAATCTCAGTGGGACTTTATCTCAGGTCAATAAAACATCTAGAGACTGAAAGTTTTTCCCATTCGTCTTTACAACACGTGTCAAGCATATGTCTGAGTAGATGGAGAACAGCGATTTCCAAAAAGTTCCACTTGGATTTGGTGTGAACTCTGCAAACAGTGAACATGTTTTGTTGTAAACCATTCCATTGTAGCTGTGGCTTTATGTTCAGGCTCATTGTCCCGATGGAAAAGAATGGATCTAATGGCGGCACGGTGGCTGAGTGGATAGCACTCTCGCCTCTCAGCAAGAAGGTCCTGGGTTCGAATCCCGGTCGGACCAGGGCCTTTCTGAGTGGAGTTTGCATGTTCTCCCCGTGTCTGCGTAGGTTTCCTCCGGGTACTCCGGTTTCCCCTACCACTAAAAATATGTCCAATAGTTCTGGCATGCGCTTCCTGTACTGGCGACCCCGCTCCCATCTCTGTGTGGAGTGAGAGACAAAATGCCCAAAATTAACAATTGTAAACCGCTTTGAGACTCAGATCCGCAGTGAAAAGGCGGTATATAAATAAAAAACTTACTTACTTACTTACAGCCTCAGTCCTGGATCTACAGCCTCAGTCCTGGATCTACAGCCTCAGTCTTGGATCTACAGCCTCAGTCTACAGTCTCAGTCCTGGATCTACAGCCTCAGTCCTGGATCTACAGCCTCAGTCTTGGATCTACAGCCTCAGTCTACAGCCTCAGTCCTGGATCTACAGCCTCAGTCCTGGGTCTACAGCCTCAGTCCTGTATCTACAGCCTCAGTCCTGTATCTACAGCCTCAGTCCTGTATCTACAGCCTCAGTCTACAGCCTCAGTCCTGGATCTACTGTACAGCCTCAGTCTACAGCCTCAGTCCTGGGTCTACAGCCTCAGTCCTGGGTCTACAGCCTCAGTTCTGGGTCTACAGCCTCGGTCCTGGGGTCTACAGCCTCAGTCCTGGATCTACAGCCTCAGTCCTGGATCTACAGCCTCAGTCTACAGCCTCAGTCCTGGGTCTACAGCCTCAGTCCTGGGTCTACAGCCTCAGTCCTGGATCTACAGCCTCAGTCCTGGATCTACAGCCTCAGTCTACAGCCTCAGTCTACAGCCTCAGTCTACAGCCTCAGTCCTGGGTCTACAGCCTCAGTCCTGGATCTACAGCCTCAGTCCTGGGTCTACAGCCTCAGTCCTGGGTCTACAGCCTCAGTCCTGGATCTACAGCCTCAGCCTCTGTATAGTCCACCAGACGACTGCTGTTGTGATTGTGGACGACACACAAATACTTGAAATAAACACATGATAAATGCGGCCTTCGACCTCAGGAGCACATTCTCAAAGGCTTGAGTGAGTGAAGACCAATGTATGAATCAGATACAACAGAAAGACACATCCATTTCGCTTTCACTTCGCAGTCGTCTTTCACTTTGTACTCACTCCTTTTCGAGCATCCATAAGTGTTGTATTAGTATTATTACTCTTTTTGTTATAAATACTTTTTGTGTTGTTATATTTTGTAAATGTACCCAAGATGTTTGTGATTTATATGCCCACTTACTTAAAATGAAAAAATAAATAAAAAACGTTCTCGTGATTGTCAGTAGTGAGTCGTATTAGTGCTTTTGCAACTCGATGCTGTCATTTTACAAACAAACACAATATTCTGACCATGGAACGTACTGGAAGAAAGAGGAAAGAGGACGTTACAAAAGTGTGAACCAGCGGACTGCAGCAGCGCCAGCTCTTAACCCTTCCACAACCACAACAACCAGAGGCACAATTTACTGACAGCTGATTGGCTGAGCGAGGCTGGTCCTCTCTTTTTCACTTTTCTGTCTGAAAAAGCCAACGTAAAGGCGTGACGGTGGCCAAACAAACGCACATGCGGGAACCATAGAGACAGAATCAAACGTGTTTTAGAGCCAAGACCCGGTGACGTAGATGCGTTACACTAGTTCTATGGCTGTGGTTTGAAAGTTACACCCCCCAGCTTTAATTCAAACCACGATCCTAGAAAAACCAGAGACACATCCTCAGCTCGTGTCTCCCTGTAGATCCGTGGTCTCTCCTGGTTTAATTGTGAAAAGCTCGGGGCGGAAGTGGCGCACAGGTGTCATGGCCCTGGACGCGCGGGGTCTGACGTGCCAACAACAAACTCGGTGATTTAGGAGCCAATTTCTCCACAACAGTTCGACTCTCTCCCACTGTCACACACCAAACCCCCGTCCCCCCCTGCCCCCCACCCGGGCCCCCTTGCTCCCACAGCGGCAGCTCTCTCTCTGCCCCCCCCTGGTCCGTGCGCACTGGGTGTAAGCTGTCATGCGTAAGAGAAGAGCAGGAAGGACGCGTCACTACTTGTTCAAAAAGCGACTTATGGACAATGTTTTAAGCGCTGTTTCTCTGATGCAAAGTCAGTCTCTCAGTTTGACACTAAATTCACGTGTTTTAATGATAGGACTAGACAATGACAAGTGAGTTTAAATGGTGGAGAAAGAACCGATTGGAGGTAAATCTTCTCCGGCGGTGGACAGTCTCCACTTCAGCCTAAACCTCTTTCGGTCAGGCGTTATTTACAACTAAAAATCTGCATCTACACGATATAGTTCTGTGTTTTTCTTATTGTAAATTGTATAAGGTCTTTGATAACATGTGGGCTAAGATCTAATGTCCATAATGAGGGAAGATACAAACTACTATTACTACAAATGGATGGTCTGATGATGAAAAAGTAGAGATAAAAGCAGATGTGTGTGTGTGTGTCTGTGTGTGTGTGTGTGTGTGTGTGTGTGTGGCTGTGTGTATATACTGGGATGGTGTTTCTAACGGTGCCGTGTCGATGGTGGGGGCAAACTTGGAGCGCGACTTACCGGTGTGTGGAGCGACTGTAGCGGGCCATGGGAGCAGGGAGAGCCCGGGTGAGAGTGTGGAGGTGTCCCCCCGGAGGCTCTGGAGCTGTCAGCGGGACAGAGGGACAGCTACAGCGGCCATGTTCGCGGAGCTGTGGCTGTTTTTATCCGCTACTCCTCCTCCTCCACTGCTCATTAAGGCACGGGCCAGGGAACAAGCGGGGAGCGCTGGATCTGCAGCCCGAGGACCGCAGTGAGAGGACCACAGCTAGAGGACCTGCATCTAGAGGTCCTGCATCTAGAGGACCCGTATCTAGAGGACTTCCAGCTAGAGGTCCTGCATCTAGAGCAGGGGTCTCCAACCTATGGCTCGGGAGATACCAGTATAGCTCACCAGCCCCTTTCATTTAGCTCCCCAAAGGATTTAGAATTGAACACATGATCCTGAAAGAAACGTGTTGAGTCATCACATATCTATTATAAGTGTAAATATAAGTTTATACAGTATTATGGTATATTTACATGCGTTCTCCATGTGTGTTCTTTCTTTTCTTATTTTAGATTAAATAATATTACATTTGTATTACGACTGCAAAAAAAGGGGGGCCCTCTGCCTCAATTGTTGTATAAAAGTAGCTCTCTGAATTAAAAAGGTTGGAGACCTCTGATCTAGAGGACCTGCATCCAGAGGACCTGCATCTAGAGGACCTGCATCTAGAGGACCTGCATCAAAAGCAGATCTGCTGATGATTCCAGCTCCATCCTCTCTAATATCAGGAATATCAGAAATATCTTTGGAAACAACCTTTGCCCCTTCCCATTCTGTCTAAAATTGTCTCCTCAGATTATCAGAATTAGTTTAGTTTAGTTTACTTTCTATCTATCTAAGTGTCAATATTAAACATATTCATGAAAACAAAATTCCTCAAACAGTAGGACCCACTCAAGGTTCTATAAGCAGACTTTTTTGAGACTGATAATTAAATGAATTAGAGTCAAACCAATGAAGAGGTAAACCCTGGAGCAGATGAAGGACGTTCAAAGATACGGAGTGATGAGGCCACAAGCAGAAGAGCAGAAGTGAACAGGTCTGTGTGTTTATATGGGGAGCTGGCAACCTCTAGTGGTCACTACAGGAACTACACTCTAATAATGACCGTCTTCCTCAAGTTACAGATACGTTTAACAGGAAAATAACCACATCATTTATATTGACACGTTAATTCTCCTACAGGGATCAATAAAGTATGTATATATCTTTCAATCTGTCTGTGAGTTGTGCTACATACATAAATAATGCTTAAAGAAGCTATAAAATCCGTAATTAAATTCTAAAAACCCAATTTATTTTCTAATGAGTTCAAAAAAAAATGCGTTTTACTACATACAAGCTATATTAAAATCCGTAATTTAATTCTAAACTACAGATCAAGAGTTCGAGCTCTTTACCTTACGTTCAAAATGTCTGACATTGGTGAATTTTTAACCTAATAAAAAACGGATCTATGGTCTGGAAACAATGAGAGAAAGTTCACGTTCACAACATGTAATCCAATATGGCCGCGTGATTTGTATGCCGACCTTTTTGAGATAACTACCGAAAATCTGGGAAAATCCGAAAATGCGGTCGAGCCGGGAAGCTCGGAGACTTTGATGGCATGTATCCTTCTGGAGAGGACATGCAGGACCACCTCGGACTATCTCCGCTTGGACTATCTATTGCTTGGACTACCTATAGGGACGCGGACACTAGCTGGTATCTTTCAGTTTTATATTGTGTTAGCAGTGCGTTGCTTTATGTGCCATTTCTGATCAGTGATGTGGTGCACAAGGCTTACATGAAGTTGCGCTAATGCTTTTGTTAGCATACGTATAAGATCGCAATATCAAACTAGGTGGCTCCGTGGGATGAGTGTCGTAGGGGAAATGAGCAAGCCTGTGAGCGAAGCTGGGGGGGCGGTAAAGATAACCTTGTGGAACGGGCATAGCTCTTCAACGACTTACTTTTGTAAATATATTTTTAAGATTGAAAGAATCGCGTTTTGCTGCTTGTATAATAGTTATGCTCTGACACCACCCTGGTCCCCCCCCCCCCCCCCCCCCCCCCCCCACCCCCCCCGTGCCCCCCCCCCCCCCCCCCACTCCCCCCCCCCCAGACTGTTAATAGGCCAGTACGTGAGCCCTCATAGAGAGAGCGCTGTGGGGCTGTTGCCAAGGTTCTGGTCTCTCTTGTGCGTCTCTCTTGTATGTCTCTCTCTTGGGTCTCTCTCTATTGTCTCACTCTATTGTCTCTGGTATTTCCATCTCTCTCTGGTTCTCTCTGGCCTCTCTCTCTCTGGTCTTCTTCTGGTCTCCTCAGTCCCCAGCAGGTAGGGCCAGTCCCTGTGCTTCCAGAGTCCCAGCTGGAGGCAGTTACTATAGCAATATTTACCAATGTGGTTTAGGGTTGACAGTCGGATAGTGCATTGCCTTTGGGTCTGAAGGTCTGAAGATCAGGATGCATGCTGTCGTTGTGTCCTTGCCAAGGACACCTAGACACTCGAACCCACTTTGCCTGGAAGCCAACCGGAGACCTGCAGAAATACGAACAGACACGGGGGAGAACATGCAACTCTACCAGGAAAGACCCTGGAGGTGGAATCAAACCCAGGGACCTTACTTGCCTGTCAGAACACAAAGACGGCCCGGAGTGAGGAAATTTAGCTGAGACTTGGATTGTACCGACAAGTCCATGAGGTTACCCCAAGCTTTAAAGTCAGCATAATGTAAGATTTCATGTCGAGGGTATCATTAAAGGGCTATTCTGTCATTCATTAAAGGGCCCTATTCTGTCATCATTAATAGGGCCCTATTCTGTCATCATTATAGTAGCCCTATTCTGGTCTCATTAAAGGGCTCTTCTGTCATCATTAAAGGGAGCTAATCTGTCATTTCATTAAAGCTGCCTCCCATTCTGTCATCATTAAAGGGCCCTCTCTCTGTCATCATTTAAGTGCCTATTCTGTAATCATTACCGGGCTATTCTGTCACATTAAAGGGCGCTAATCGGTCATCATTTTAAAGGGCCCTTTGTCTGTCATCACTAAAGGGCCCTAATCTGTCAAAGGCATACTAAAACTTGCTCCTTTTCCATACTTCATTACATGATACTGTAGTTCAGAGATATTTGAATTTCAAATTCTAGTTTGCGGAACCTAAATCTTCGATTAGATCGGGAGCCAGAGTCACCGTGTCGAGTTATCTCCAACTGGTAAGTTAACAATGTGGGCACAGAACTAAAAAAGAGTTTCGGTTTTGATTCTCTAATCATTAACTAAAAACAAGGATTAAAAACCAGGATTTTATCGTTGTTGAAAAAAGGTGTTGGTTATAGATTTGTTGATGACAAAATCTCTGGTCTTTCAGCGGGTTATAGTAACAGCTGGATTCGTCTGCATATTGGCAACTGAGTCAGAGGAGACGTGGAGAGTGCTGCTATGCTCGTACCACTTTTGGCACAGATTTTATTCCTACCTTTTTGACAAATGTTTATTTTATAGCTATTTTTGTTTTTTTTCTTAACTTTTATTCTGCATCTGCAAATTTTATTCTGCACTAAGCATCTTTGAGTGTCGAAATGTAATTATAATCATTATTATTAGTCTTTATTAAAGAATATGCACAGGTTAAAAGTAGATTCCCTGTAACCTACCGCTGCAGGGCTCTGTTGTCACTCGGTCTGGGGCACAGATTTTCCTTGCTCTCTACCCGTCTCCTCCTGTGTTTCTGGCCTCCTTGCCCATAACGCCAATGAGCAGACCAGGGTGGGCTAGACCAATCACAGGTGTGGCGGCGGGAGGGCTCATTCCTGCCTCAATTGGCTGGAGCCGCTCTGAGCAGTCCGTCAGAGCTTGAACTGTGGGGAGGACTCAGTTTGGGACACAACACAAGAGACAGGGACAGAACGTTAGAAGCCAGATAGCGCAGTTTAACAGCAGGAGCAGCTTAGTGCAAGTAGAACTTGCCAGTCTTGATAAAGTGCCTTATTTACTTCTACACAATGTTTGCTTCCAGTTTCCAGGAGGAGATGTCCACCCGCCCTTGGATCTACAGCAGGACGCCATGTGCGATTTTGCCACTTACCTGGTGCTCTACAAGAAGTTATTGATAATCAGAAGGTCACGGAGAAGAGAAGTAATATAGATATCCATTTATCATTATCATTTGCTTAAGGACAAATACGGTGTCGTAGTTAAAAGATGATATAAAATAATACGTAAATTGCATATTGTAAAAAGAAACTCGACAAAAAAGGAGTTAACTTTACTGATCTACATTGGAGAGTGTTACATGTACATTTGGCACAGATAGAACAGGTTGTGCATAAATATAGTCTCTCTTGTGCGACTTCACTCTCTGAATGCAGTTTGTATATTGATTTGTGTTTGTATAAATCTGGGTGTTCTGTGAAAATCTGTGCAATATGTTTAACATTATATCAGGAGTGTGAAATATATCTGTTGACTCAAATTTTGCTTGCTCTATTCCGGACTCCCTTTGTGAAAAGGAGGGTTTTATCTCAATGGGATTGTTTCCTTGCATTCAAATAATGGTAAAAAAAAAAAAAAATTATTATAATATATATCAGTGTCCCTTTACTGAGTAACTTGCTGCCTAAAGTAAAGATGTAAACAAAATATATAGATTTCTCGCATCTATTTATGTGTTATGCTAAAAGTCAGAGATTTTATACTGAGCTTTCTTTATTATGCTCTAAAGCTAGAGGTTTGTACTAGCTTCTTTTATTATGCTAACGGCTTAGGAGAATATTTTACTACTAGCTTCCTTCTTTTTATGCTAAAGCTACGATATTGTATGTACTAGCTCTTTATTATGCTAAAGCTCTAGAGTTTTATACTAGTTCTTTATGGATGCTAAAGTCTAAGCGGTTTATACTAGCTTCTTTATTATGCTAAAGCTAAGGTATTTATACTAGCTTGTTTAGTACGCTAAAGATAGACGGTTTTATACTAGCTTCTTACTATTATGCTTTAAAGCTAACGGTATTCTATACTAGCTTTCTGTTATTATGCTAAAGTCTCGAGATTTTATAACTAGCGTCTCTTATTTTGCTACAGCTAGACGGTGTTATACTCGCTTCTTTCTTCTGCTAAAGCTATAGACGGTTTTTACTAGCTTCTTTAATTATGCTTAAAGCTAACGAGATTGTAATACCGCTTTCCTTTATTTTGCTTAACGCTGACGGTTTTTTATACTAGCTTCTTTTATTATGCTCAAGGCTAGACGGTTTTATACTAGCTTCTTTTATTATGCTAACGTCTAAGGTTTTATACTAGCTTCTCTTATTATGCTAAAGCTAACGGATTTAATATGCTTCCTTTATTTATGCTAACGCTATACGGTTTTTTACTAGCATCTTTTATTATGCGAAAGCTAGAGGTTTTATACTAGCTTCTTTATTATGCTAACAGCTTAGACGTTTTTCTACTAGGCTTCTTAATTATGCTAAAGCTATCGGTTTATACTAGCTTCTTTTATTATGCTACAGCTATCGGTTTTACTACTAGCTTCTTTATTATGACATAATGCTCTACGGTTTTTATATAGCTTCTTTGTTTTATGCTAACGCTAGACGGTTTTCTATACTAGCTTCTTTATTTTGCTAAAGGCTACGGTTTTTTACTATTGCTTATGTATTA